GCGCGTACAGCTGAGGCTCGTGCTCTAAGGGATGCTTACGCTAGAGGTCAGAGAAAATCACAGGGTAAATACACTCTAACTATGCAACCGCGTAAAGCTAAAATTGTGCTTACAAAAATAGGAGGTGAGTCTGTACCTTCGGTGTTTGATTAAAAAGGGCCTTAGTGCTCCAGTCGGCTAAACCGAGGGCTGGTCCGAGGGACATCGCCGCCAGCCAGGCTGGCCCTTGTTCGCAGTCACCTTACGATCTTTGAGCGGAGGGGGAAGGAAGTGGGCAGTGGAAGCGAGTTAGGAACGCCAGAGCCCGCTGACACCTGGTTAGATGTGACATAAACAAAGATACAGGGATAGGTAGGTGCCGCTGAGGGATGACGGGGCCACCGCGAACCGCTGTCCCTTCTCTGTCCCTTCAAAAGGATTAAGCAAATGGACACAAGGTGGCGCCGTGTGTGCATCTTATCGATTCGACGGAAAAGCCTTGAGTTTCGCTGCTCTGTTGTGGGCCCTTGTGTAGCCACGTTTTCATGTCGTTTAAAAAGTATGACTGAGATTATACTCTACACCATTCTCAGTCCGGTTTTTAATGAATAATATATTGTATACCAATATGTGGAAGTTAAAGTAAGGCCTTTGATTAAAACTTGGGAGTGAGAGCAGTAGATTCTCTTTTGCAAGCTAAGTTGTATAATTAATTCTAACCTATTAAAAGTTGGGAAAAGTCATTTAAAAAACAATTTCTAGGCCAAAAATTTGATGGTGATCTGATTTAGTGTGTTCACATAAAATAGAAAATATATGAAAACATCTATAATAGAAAACCCGTGTGAAGAAAACCACATCTTTTAGACCAGCGAGTCACGGAGGCAGACACATCTTTTAGCGAGTCACGGAGGCAGACACTGGCCACGTGTCCCCACTGTGCTGCCAGGGACAGGGGCCGGGACAGTAGATTTTGCGTGTTCGACTCCAGCAGGAGCTCTCCTCCCACGGGCCGGACGCCGGAGGCCCCTCCTGCCATGTGCTCACGGGGTCTTCGTCCCGTCGACCCCCCTCGCTCTGCGTCCACGCGTACCCAGCAGGCGCGTGGCCGCGATGTCACTCTGTGCTGGGAGCTGGGGCTGTTTTGCTGACTTGAATTGTTAGACTCAGCCACGGTTTTTGGATTTATTTTACGTTGCCAGTTAAGCAGTTAGCGCTTGGTGTTTAGATATCTGTCTTACTCCTCGCACGGGTGTAAGGAGGAGGACCGCGGAGAGGCCTGGTTTTGGTGCCCTTGGCATGAGGGTCTGCCACAGCAAGGCCGGGCGCCGGATGTGGGACAGAGTGATGGGAATTACTCTGGGAGGCCCTCTGGGGACAGCCAGCGTTCCCCTAGGTGCTGTGTTCATGTCCCCCCCAATCCTGCTTGCTTACTTTGTACGCATGGAAGGCCAGCATTGACTCGTGCTTTAACGTTTCAAGAGAAACTTTAGAAGGGCCTTCTCCTTTCACTGGGCGATTTTAGTGTTATTAATAGCATTCTCTAATAATTCGGTGGCCTCATTAGTCAAGTATGTTTTTATATATTTAAGAGGAAGTGCTAATTGACTTTGCTTTTATTTCCAAAGGACATTCTTCCTTTTCACATGGGTGTTTCTTCATATAAACCCCTAGATGTTTTTATTTGTGCGGCGCTTATTAAAGTTATTCCAACAATTCTGTTTTGCTGAATATTGTCACCGCTTAATGGGAAAAGAAAGGATTTTTCCCCGCCTCTCTTCAGAGCGCCTTTTGATTAGATTTTGAAAAGCTTTAATGAACTTTTCTCCCTTTCTTGCCCATACTTCCTCATTTCAGTTACCGCAACGGTTTATTCATTCGTTCTTTCGTTTGAAGTATTTACTGAGTGCCAGCCGTCTTCCAGGCTCTGTGCTAGACTGTAGGGTTGGAGTTACCAATCGAAATAACAGCTGGGTGAAATTCAAAAGCTTTAAAGAAGATAATCTAACGCGAAAAAAATGTTAGTGTGCGTATCTGTCAAAGTCACCTGCAGCCCCGATGATGGCGAACGCATGTGGCCCAGGCGAGAGTGTGCACAAGCGCCCCCAACACAGACGCCCCCACAGCACCAATAGTTGCCGGCTGTGCCCCTCCGCTGCCCAGCACCTAGTCAGGAGACTGTTGTGAGGGTGAACAAAATAATACAAAAAACATGCCCGGCACAAAGCAAGTATTCAGACGCGTTAAGTGTTAACGCTCGCTTTTCCGCTACCTTTTCCGCGTATACTGCTTGCTCCTCCCCTCCCCTCCCCCCTCTGCACCTCTGCCTCTGTTATCACTGGGGATGGAAACGTCAAATAACGATGCAAGAGACAAAGACAGTTTGAAAAGTCAGTTCGGCTTGTAAACGAGTAACTTTTCCAGAGTCAGAGGAAACGTAAGATTGAGAAGCATTTAGTGAGGATCGGAGTGAGAATCAGGTTGCCCTCTGATTTCCGCCCCGCCCCCGCCCCCCAGTATTTTGAGAAACTCAGACTTACGTTCCTACTTTGGATAGAGGTTACTGGATTTGAAGGGTTACAAATCGAGCTCGAAAATTTTAACAAAATTTGCCTTGTAGATACTAACAGATCTCAAAACATACCTACGAGGGGCCATTCTGGTCCAGCAGCAACGTGGCTTTTTGCGTTTGAGGTTTTCCGTGCTGCGTTTAAACTTCAGTGACGTTGGAAACGATACGTACGGAGACAAGTTGCAGAGCTGTGTGGCCTTCCTCCTTGTTTAGAAATGCAGGAACGGCCGCCTTGGACTGAGATCACAAACTGGCACCGGCCAAACTGAGTTTCATCTAAATACGGATTGTAGAGAAGCTGTTATAACTGGATGGGCTTGGAATTGATAGGTCGCCCCCTTGTTCTTCTGAAATGGCCACCTCAAAAGCAGGGAGACCCCGACTTTGTATGTATGTGTGTTAATTTCTTTAATTCTCTGTTCAGTGGGTCTATCGTTCATCTTTTCTTATTGTGAAATGTAAAACATATAGAAAAGTGCTCAAAACCAAATTCGACTCGGTGATTTATCACAGAATAAAGACCTTAGTGTAATCGCTCCTGGCTTTTCCTTGTACCCCACTTAAACTTATCTAGTGGGTGTATGCTTCACGGTACTCAAAGGTGTGCACTCCCCACCTGCTGTTCCTTAGGATTCTCAAAGTGATCATTTTTAACATCCTTCTTCAAGTCACATTGCAAATTCATTGGCACCTGCTGGGTGCTTAATAACGTCAACGCCCCAAGTCATCAACTTCTGCTTTGGTTTGGGAGCGTATTGGTAGTCCTTTCCAATAGCAATACTGTAAAATTAAATATCTTTAAAAGTTATCTCCGTTGCCAGCATGATGGTCTCCTCCTGTTTGGCCGTTTGTCAGTTCCCCCTTTATCCCGATATCCCCTCGGCCGACGCTCCACTTACCCGGTCAAGACAAGGCTCCTCGAGGGGAGTCACACGGAGGGCCCCCCGCGGTCTTTCCATTCTCCGTCCCCATTCAGTCTTTCAACTTTTATGACCTCGGGACTTATTTCTTATGCAGGATAATCCTGAATTAATTTGTGCCCCGGATGTTGATTTTATAGTCAACCTTTAGAGTTCACTTTGATCATACCTTCCGCTTGGCTTGTGACCTGTCCCCTAATGAGCAGCTCGTGTGCTGGTTCCAGGGCCACAGACGCCGCCAGTGTGGGACATCGACGAGAATGGCTGTGACTTTCTGGAATCTGCACTTACTTTATTCACCCACTTTCTCATTTTGTTCATACTGTTGAATTCAGTGTGTGTGTCCCATGGACAAGCAATTTATCACACGTTTGGCTCTTACTCACCTTCTTTTGCCACAATTTGGTAATTTCTGCCAAAATACATGCTCTAGTCAGCCTTTTGGTTACAGGGAACAGAAGGTTATATAAGATAGCTTACCTGAACAGGAGAAGCGTAGCATGGACAGGAAGTTTCCGGAGTCCAAGGAGAGGGAAGGAAACCAGCCCCGGCCCATCCCAGGCCAGCCCTGCTGAGCAGAAAGCCCTTAAAAACCAAGGTGGCTTCTAGAAGCCAAGGAAACCACCGATTCTCTCTCACCCAGCCCTCTTCCCTGCACGGCCACCTCTCCCTCCTTTCCTCTGCCTCTCTCTGTGCTTAGATTCTGTCTCTTCTTTGGGCACTGGCTTCCTCTGCATTTCGGAAGCTGGTACCTGGTCTTCCTCAACATCTGAGCTTGGGCGCCTGTCCCTAACTGACCAGTGCCTGAGTGTCCTAATTATAGAGTCTCGGTATGAGACTCTTAATGGTTGAGATTAACTTTTTTGTTTTTCATTTGGTCCAGACCATGGGTAGACCAGCTGGAGGTTGGCAGTGGTGGGCAGAGCTGTGCTGGGGCAGGAATCCTGCCAAGATGGTGGCAGTGGCTGTGTAGGCAGCTTCTTTAGACGGGTCTCGGGAAGGACAGGTAATGTCTGGAGTTCTGGCACCGTAAACTAAGAAGGTTTTTGTTTTTTGTTTTAAATCTCTATCCTTCAAATATGGATCCAACAGCTCAAACAGAAAAAGAACGAGCGAATTCCTCGCAGAATAGGTGGCCGCTGTGTGGGGTAGAGAGATAGCTGAGCTCAGTGGGTCATTTCCTGGGTCACGTATGACGTTAAGTGTGAAGATGTCTAAATAGTTTACCGATTATCTTGACTGCACCAACGGCCAGCGTGTTTTGATTTATATCAAGATCATGCTCCATGTTGTTCTGTAATAATGCAGAACGATTTGGGGAGCTGCACTTGAAACACATCGCCATTTATTACAACTGAGTCTTTGAGAAAACGCAATCGTAAGCACACAATATTTAAATAGAATCGAGAATACCTTGCACTGTCTTACTTACCCAAAGGAAAGATAATTTACCAAAATGCCGTGTTAGCAATCAAAGTGTAATAAGCACAGTAATGGTGTCAGCAGGACAGAGGGATTTGGGAGCCCAAGGATTGAGGTACGTTCATCGTGTGAGGTGACCTCCATGGAGACGGCAGAGCCTGAGCGGTCAGTGAGCTGCTTTGCCCTTGAGGAAGAAGATGGTTCTAGGAGAATGGGACCAGTTCTTATTCAAATGGCCATTAAGACATTTTGTTTAATTGGGATGCAGTAAAGGTGTCTCTTATTAGAAAGGCGATACTACTGCTACTTAAAGTCGCCAAGTAGGTGATTTATTTCGAAACCCTCCTGTTCCAGTAACAAATACGTGGAAGAAATTCGGCCAACGAGCCTTCCCTGGCCTGGCTTGTGTGTGTGTGTGCGCCTGTGTCCTTGTGCCTCGTTTTTTTGAGGGGAGGTGATGAATGCTGAATTTGGAGTCCCGAAGTTCAAGTTCTATTCTTGATCCTGCCGTTTCTTAGGGTAAATCCTTGGAGGGCTCGATGCCTTCCAGTTCCCTTGCTATAAAGATGCGAGGTTGAATTATCATCTCGATTAACTCTGGGGTGACATTGGCTGGGGAATAGGAGTAAATTGTGTTGGAATAACTGTGATTCCCTCCACCTCAAAAAGTAGCTAATTCTTCATGGTACCCAAAGAACAAGCTCCCAGAAAGCTAAGTTTTGGTTGCTTTTTTATAATGTCTAATCACCACTGTACTAACTTCATTTCTATCTCTTTTTAATGCTGCCTCTTAGCATACGCTCCATTCAACATTCAATTAGCATGCCGGCTATGAGGTAAAGTATATTTCTACAAAATGAAAAGTTGGTCTCACGCTTTCTCATTCTTTACCAGGGTGTTTACCTTGAACGGTTACGAAGTGGGGAACTCGAATTCTGCTGTGAGCAAGCTGTGTGTTTAACACTGTGATCGCGTGGGATGGTTGCAGGAGATCCAGTAAACGTTTGTGATTGAAAACAGCAAAAAAGAATTATTTTCTGTCTCGCTTTGTAAATCTGCTGTTTCACATCTGCAGTCTGTCTAACGGAAAGAGCGAACACGCTTCATCTCATGAGTCTTGCACGTCGGTGGCTGTAGGCGCCTCACCAGCTCTGCCCACATCGATTCGCTTCTCTCCCTGCTCCCCGTTGTCAGTTCTGCCGTCCCGCTCTGACATCGGGAGCCAGCTGTGACTTAACTCGTGTCCTCTCATCGGGAAGCACTTGGCACATGTTATGACCTCATCTCCCTCTCTAGCGAGGCAGAGGTCTCTAACCAACTGTGCTTGGCTGAAACGCGGGTTACATAAGAACCAAAGGCCTGGAGGGCTGTTACAAGCCGCCCGCTTGCTGCCCGCTTCCCCGGGGTTGCTGACTGTGTCAGCTGAGGGTGGGACCTGAGAATGTGCTTTGCTAATAGCTTCGTAAGAGCTGCGGATGCAGCTCGCTGGTCCAGGGACCACACGGGGAATGGCTGCCCATTGCCATCGTGGGAACGAGGAAGCCCCTGTCCCCCCTCTTCACCTTTTTCATCTTGGTGTCGTAGGAAGAGTATTCGAGGTCGGGCAGATCATACAAGGCCTCAGAGCCCCAGGCGTGAGCGACACAGGCCCTGGGATCCTCCTTGATCGATGGGGCTGAACCTGACGCCATGGGAGGGGCTGGCTCTCTGCGGGGTCAGAGGGCTTCCGTTAGCCAGGGCAGCTTTGTGAGGAGGCCGGGCCCCGGTTCCGTGCTCCCCCTTTTCTTCCGGTCTCTCCTTTTGCATCTGTCACGCTGCCCCCGGGGCCCAGGGTCTCTGTCATGCTGTCATGGAAGCTCCTCCAGCCCTGCTCGGAGATGTGGGTTCAAGCAGGAACCATGCCAGGCAGCACGTGGCTGTGAACACAGGTTCAGCCGATCTAACGGTGGCGTTTGCTTGGCAAGTTGGCGTAGCGCCAGAACTGATGTTCGGCCTGACTCATTTCCTCTTGGCACAGGTGCCTGCTGTATCTGTATCTCTGGGTCTAAGACGGGCCCCGTTCGTGGAGTCCCAAGCCTCACTGTAGAAATCTTAGAACAGAAATGGGTAATCTTACGTAACAGTACACATTGGTGTATGTGCCCGCACACCCGTGGGACAGAGAAGCATTTCTGTTCTTTTGCTCATTGAGAATAACGAGCAATACAGTCAACTAACAATGTTTTCGAAATTGATGGGTTTTTCAGTGTTTGCGATTTTACTATTTGGTTTTTTTTTTTCCTCTCTCCACAGAAACTCCCCGACTTTCAAATCGTTTGAAGAAAAGGTTGAAAACTTAAAGGCAAGTAGAGAGGTGAACAGGCTCTTTGTATTATCCTTCTTCGGGCCTTCCCTTTCTTTGGCGTGGGTAAATCATTCTAAAAACATTCAAAGAACTTGAATAACTTTATTCTTTGCACGATTAATGAAGATTTAAGGTGATATGTACTCATAGTCAGTGTTTTTGAGTGTATGTTGTCACATGGCAGCATTCTAAGTCCTGAAAAGAAACGTGTAATTTAAAAAAAACAATAGTAACTTGGAAGTTGATATTTTTCATTTCAAATACTTTGTAATGGGACAAAATTTAAGATAAATGTTATTGTATAAAGTTAAAGATTTAGAAGAGCAGAAATCCAAACAAGAAAAATTGGTCTCACCACCCAGAGACAGTGATACATGTGTACAGGGTGACTATGCTAGTGTGATTTAAAAATTAACCATACATCATAAACATTTTTCTCTATCATTGTTCCTTCCCAATGTTGTGTTTAATGGCTGTGTGCATATTCCTAATAATGCACATCGTTTATCCAGTCCTCAATTATTGGACGTTTTTATTATGATGATGATGCCACAATGATGATCATTGATTGTCATATTTTTTGATTGCTTTGATTCCAGCGAAGGTGGACATTTTCCATAATGATTAGATTTACAACCTTGTAAACTATATTATCTTCAAGATTATATTCAAAACTATAAAATCATCCACTCTCAGGATCACGAGTCACCAGAAAGGTTGTTTAGTCTCATTCACTGCCCACCCTTCTCTGCAGAGTTCCTGCAATGCCCACGTGTTCACTTCTACCTAAACTAGTTCTGATAATTACGGTGGACATTTTTTAAGGGTCGAAACTAATATGTTAAATGTTTCCTATAAGTCAACTTAAAAATGCAGATTTACTCTTAAGAATGCTAACCGAGTCACTTGTTTCTGAGTGCATCATTTTTTAGTTAGAGAAGCAGGGTGCATGCTTATGGGAAGAAAAACATGCTGTTAGTTGCAATCCAAGCCAGTGATGACAGTGGAGTGAATTAAGGTCAAAGTCGAGAGATGTTTAGAATTAAGAAATGACAGACAAAAAGTTAGTGATTGACTAACAAGAGGGCGACCGATGATGGGCAGCTCCCAGGTGCCTGACGGGGACAGCTAGGCCATGCTGCTGCCATTCAGAGTCTTAGGAAAGAATGGAGAAGGGCTCAGGCGTGGGGAGTTCGGTTTTAGACACGTCGAATTTCAAGGAGTTTTAACATTTTATTATACTTGAGAACGTGTTTTAAAAATTTTAATAAAGATACACTGGATACAACTTATGCAAATTTTTCAAACAATTCAAAGGTTTTGGATGGGAAACCAAAAAGAATGAGAGAAAAATTTCAACTAGATTCCAGCTGTTAATGAGTGTCTGGCCAGTCAGTTAAGATTGAGCAAAGAGCAAGGTCAAGTTAACCACACTGTGCGTTGCATCCTTGGTCATTGCCTGGTTCCTTAATGTTAGTCACCTGTCCTGTTCAGTCAGTAATCTGAGATGTAACAGAGAGAGAGCATCAGTGTTGTTCAGGACAGAGTGCCGTGTGAGGGCTTGAAAGCATAAAATGTTGTACACACGTAAGGCAGACACACTCATTCAGACACATGTTTATGGATAAAGTTTCTGGCCAGATAAGTTGGTGTGTGGGAAGCACCTGGAGATCCCGTTAGAATGTAGATTTCAGTGCTGCAGACGGAGGCGGGAGGCCGGCCTGAGACTCTGCATTTTCTCACACGCTCCCAGGTGATGACTCATCTACAGGTCCTTGCACCACACTCTACGTAGCAATGGGTTAGAAAGCTGACGCTGTCACTGAGAAAAACACACGTTTCTTTCCTTTGCTGAATGTGCGGCTGAATGCATAATTTGATGGACTGCATAGTATTATCTAAAGAGAATTCAATAGATATTTTAGAATAAATATCTATTCTAAATTCTTCAGACAGATTTCCCTATAACGAACGATAAGCAGATGGGGAAAAAAAGAGGAGGGGCAGCATTGACCAATCCGAACTCATTCAGCAGAAAGATCGCGAGTTTTTCTATTAAACTGCACTAAACATCGCTGTGCTCTTGGGTTCCTAATTTATTTGAAGTACGATTTGACTTACTTTATGCAGAGTCAGCTAAGTTTGTGTTTCATGACGTCTTTTCCTTTTCGAACTTGATTTAAAGTCGAAAGTAGGGGGGACCAAGCCTGCCGGCGGTGATTTTGGCGAAGTCTTGAATTCGACGGCAAATGCCAGCGCCACCTCCACAGAGCCACTTCCAGACCAGACCCAGGAGAGGCCGTGAAATGCCTGCCTCTGTCCGGCCACCCACTGCCAGACGCTGCAAGCGGGGCCCAAGCACATCTCGTCCATGTTCATTGCTGTGAATTTTTACCCTGTGTGCTGTTATTTAGCTTTACATATTCCTTTGACCAAACAGTCTGTGGGTTGAGCAAAATGAATATATCCTCACTGCTATATTCCTGGGCAACACCCTCTAATGCGCATCGAAGGCCCTTTACTTAGGAAGCACCATTATAAAAACACGTGTAGTCCCTGGGACCCGCCCCC